GGTGACGGATGGATGATAATTACGTTATTCCTTGTTGAGTGTAATGGTATTTATTGGCAACGGTACGTTAGCATTATATAGGCAACAGTATCATCGTTATATCCTGTTGATTGTAACGTTACATAAGGGCTACAGTAAAATTATATCTGGCCATCTGGATGACAGCCCCACAATGTCTGGGAGACAATAACGTTATATATGGATGACAGTAACAGGGTGCCTGGGAGACAATAATCTTATATATATGGATGACAGTAATACAGTGTCTGGGAGACAATAACGTTATATATGGATGACAGCAATACAGTGTCTGGGAGACAATAACGTTATATATGGATGACAGTAATACGGTGTCTGGAAGATAATAACGTTATATCTGAGGAAAGTAATACAGTGTCTGGGAGACAATAACGTTATATCTGAGGAAAGTAATATTACATCTGGGTAGCAGTATTATATTGATGGTGTGTGACAACTGAAGATCCGATATCAACGTAAGACAATTATATTATAAGATGAAAAGCCACAGCTCTCTTTATAAGCAACGCCGCAAAACAGAAGAGTTGAGAGAAGAAAGTTGAACAGATGCTAAGAAAAACGAAAATGTGAAGAAATTCTCAGATATTCAATTTCTGTACATCACATTATCCAATCAGTGTACACAATGGGAGGAGGATGACGCCATTTTGTCATCTTCTGACAGAAAAATAAATGACAGGAATAATTCGTGATTTCTTTTCTCACTCTCAGACAAAGACCTGTCCCTGACTTTAAACTATAGGATTTCAAATTTCTTAAATTTATCCTGACATTGCACTCTGATTTGCTGCATTTGGGAATTTCAAGACGGCAGTTGAAACACGTTCTTATAAGTTCCGGTTTTACAAGCCTAATTTTCTGACAGCAGAAAAAAGGACCCTTTTTGTAATGAATATGTTAAGTATTTGATAATACGGTGTAGATGAGTTTTACTTCCCACCTTTTTGCTTTCATGGCTTTTTGACTTTGGTTTATGAAAACTCATGTCGTTTTCTGACTATGAACCGGGGTGCTCGTTCCTTATACCTTCTGTTGCAGCATATAAAATTATAGTATTCGTCATAGAAATGGCTTTGAATTCGATGAATTTAACATGATAAAGATCGTGCTCTATTATAACTAAATGGTATTTAGGTTAAATGTCACCAAACAAACTGATTTTTTCTGACATTTTTTAATGAGAGGGGTTAAATATCTAACTATTCTGAACTTTAATTTAACTCGATAATGCTCAATTAGAGACGATCACGTGACTTTACCTACATTCAGTCAAACCCAGCTATATTGTTACTTATATCACCATAATTACATCTTCAGTTCTCAAGCACCCGTTCAGAGTTACAGAGTTATTATTTCTTGTGCTTGCGAAAAGATGACATCTAAACCTTGAGATAACAGGTCATCGTCTAGATTAGGGTTTTCTCGGATTGTAAGATACCCCATTCAGTAATCACTCAATCACGAGATTTAAATTTGCAAATTGCTTCGATGAAATTTAAAACTGGAAGTTTTGCAGATTCATAAATGTTTCGCCATTGGCAGAATGCAGTTTCCTGTTTTCAGAATGAATCGAATGAGCAAATCTATTGCCATATTGAAGCTGAAGAGAGCCGACTAATGTCGTCCTGCTACAGTTTGTCACGTTGCATTTTTATGGTGTCCATCAGCCTGATTTGAAACAGGAAGTAGGGTGTAAAACTTCATTTCATTTCATTTCGTCTCATCTAAGACCTTTTAATCGAAATAGACTCTCTTTATAAATAAACTTCACTGAATAAAATTCGTTTATTCCATCTCAATGGTCCTCTAAAGGAATTTATTTTCATAAACAAACTATAAAGTTAGCTTCATTAGTACATTAATTAAGACCGAGTTAATTAGTCTTTGATTTTAATGAACTCTATCTTCATCTCCTTAGCATCAGTTTCATTCTATGGTGTCTATAATATGTCGATGTCGTTTGTCAGTCGTGATACAAATGTAATAAATTTTTATTTTACGTCCAAATCTTTTGCACTTAATTGGGCTAATGGATACGAGCAACGTCATGAAGTGTGCATTGTGGGAAATTTTGTCAGGACAGTGGTATTACACTACTTTTTTCGATTTCCTTTCGAGGGATTTTGCTACGTGCAAAGCCTGTACCCAGAGCACACGGGCCTGGGTTTATTGTCTCCCCAGACCTGCATCACTGACAGGAGAAAACCGAGTAGACAAATCTGAAGGTATTATCTCAACCTGTCGGGATTGAACCATGAAACTCCGGGTCAGGGAGCAAGCATCTATCTCATTGAATCACATGAGGTACGCAGTGTCAAAGATATGTGACATTTCCATTCCAGTTCATTTACGATACTATTTCATAAAAAAAATATAATGTTTCCTTCCTGTAATTTTTTCTCATATAGCGACAGCCTCTTTAGTATACGGTAAATCAGCATTTCAACGACACCGCTTTCTTGAATCGGAGTATCAATCAGATCAATGTGTACCAGTGTCAAGTCTAGAGCCATAATGATTTTGGTTAATTATATCATTATTGTCAATTTATCCTTAAAGAGACACTCTCCTTAATCTGAGAGTAATGTGATATATTCGCCTCAGGTCAAGATTTGGTTACAGTTGCGACCAGTATCATATCATGACACACGAGGGAAGGTATTTATGGCCCTCATAACGTTCAGTAGATTAAAATAATCTTTAATCACAACCATTACAAATCAAAGTAGAATAGCTGGATTTATGCTTATTGGAGAGTTTTTAACATGAGAAAACCGATATGTACCAAAGAATACAACCGAGATATAGCAGACAATGCCAAAGTACTGGACTATTTCTGCATTATAACCAACAGTTGTGTAAGTACATGTAATTCAGAAGTACAATCTGGCTTCTGCTGCTGTTACAAGAATTCTTGAACAATGACTCTAGAAATTCCAACAGTGCAAGGCAGATAAGTGTATAGTGATCTTTATTACCGCCACACTGTTCGATTTTTGTCGATCGGCATTCAACCAACTGACTAATCGTAGGACATAGTGACCCAAGCGGTATAGGGTAGCCATTCCTGTTTATGTCAGAGGAGACGCATGTTGTATATATATAGCCATCCCTTTAAAGGCGAGCTGACAGATCTGTGATTAAGAAGAGTAATAGAAACATTAACTGTAATTAATTAGACACTGGTTGTATCTTTATACAGTCTTTAATGTACTCATCTACCAGTTGATCACCGGTCTGTCAACATCTTTAAACAATACCGGTTTGTTTACTTTGTTGTCATCAAGGACATTAAAGGGGCTAGTATAGCCATTAGAGGGTATAATCAGGTTAAAAGAATAAGGTGGACTGTTCATCATTAGAGTATATAATGTTAAAAGGATATGAAGATCGCTTGGAATACTAATGAGAAATCGTCAAGTAAATTCCTCTAAAATATGCTTGAATAGTTGATAGTCCACCTCTCTAACTGTTCGAACCATTAGAAGTGTTAAATTTCCTTAATTTTCTGAAACCAAGGTAAAAAATGACAAGTTACGTCCCTTGGACCAAATCTTTTCTTCAACAATATACTGTCCTATTAATACCTTGTATTTTTAAATTGGTTTGTACCGGGATTGTCATCATGCAATAAAAATAGTCATTTCTTGCCAGAGATTGTGGCTTTCAAGATGGTTAAAGAGTAAGAATAAATTGTTTTTTTTAATCAAGATATTCATGGTGACCATAGTGAATGTTTTGTAAAAATAAAAGTTTCATTGGCACGTCATTTGTTTTTGAGTGTCTTCGGGTCTATGAAAATATCAGGTTAAATGCTATTATATTTCACTCCCAGAGATATCTCCCTTAATAATGATCAACATTTCGAAATAAATCAAACTAGATCTAAAGTGAGACATAAAGTAAAGTTTGTCATATATTAATTTGATATTTTTGACAAAATAAAAATATTATGGGCAAAGCTTTTTCGGAATCGGTATTTTGTAATCCACAAAAGAACGTATTGCATCTCGAATGTAAACGCTATAGATTTTTTTCTAGTAAAGTTAGCCTTTTGTTTGTTATCGTCCACGACACACGACCAAGCTGTGTTCACTATAGTTCTCTACTCAACTGTACAGTCTATCATTAAATAGATAGAGCTAGTAACACGAGGTCTACATTCACTCAATGAAAACATGCCGGCTACTTTTACTTCATCAAAATCTCGTCGTGAACCGACAACCAACATTAATTGATATCATTTAAAAGTGGGCGTGGAAATATTAAAATGGTGATATTTGATTGGTCGCTAGTTGACCCCCCACGTGTGTATGATGTTAAAAGGCGGTGTATATTATTGTATGTATATTGTATTGTTCATGTTCTGTTTACAAATGCTACTGGTGGCCTTTTAGTTCGTTAGTTCTTCCGTTTTCAAACCGGCTAAAGACAATAGATAGAAATATCGCAGAATGATGACAACATAACGTTACGTTTTTTAAGGATATTGTTTTGGATTTACTATAGGCATTATAATGATTCTGCCACTCATGTAACGTGTTTAAAAAGGGCATTTGGATTAACGTTTTATATATCATTTTAGAGTGGTAACTGTAGTAGTGTTTTATATTCAGAATATAACCGAGGTTTAATATTCTCTGTACATTCATTCTTAGCCTACACAGACATTGATTGTGAAAATAAAAAGACAACATATTATATACTGTGACTGAAACTGAAAACACTTGTCGTGGACAGATAAAAAGGACATACTGTCATTACTAAGAAAACAATATAGTATCTGTAACGTACTGAAAAGTACTGCCCGTAGAATATCATATATCTGGACCACTCAACATATTAGTAATTGTGACTCAGACGTGTGTAAAAGCACTGACCGTGGTAGAGATATTTAAAACCTGAACTGTGCTATATTAAGTGTCTTCCTATAGAATAGTGTATTATAACATGTAGGCAAGATGAAGTGGAATATTAAAGGATTAACTCAATATCTGGATACTTGTTTTCTTCTTTCTGTGATAATTTCAGGTAAGACTCTTTTATTGCAGAGTTGTGGTCCTTGGAACTATGAGTATCTGTAGACGTTACTATATGATATAGGACTTTCTGTTATGGCTGTAGTAGAAGATTATTTATTACTTATAGTCACATACTATATTTTCAAACATTAAATGTATACCAGTAAAGTATAGTATACTGAAAACGATGTTGAGTCAGGATTATCATTGCTACTTATGACCAAACAAAGCCATTCCAAAGGATAAAATTTTATAGAAAACCTAGACAAATATTATCTCGGACCAATGAAAACTTGGACAAAATGAATCAAGCAATCGAAACATTTATGCAATCGCATGGTTTTGGTAATAGTTCATTAGATTGGCTTTAACTCTCTTATCATATGTAACTAGGACTTTTCTGGAGTGAAATCAGTGCCAAAATGGACAGTCTTCGGGTTCATAACCCAGTGTTATTATGCACATTTAAATTTCAAGTACCTTGCTTTACAAATACTTGCCTTATAATAGACAAAAGTTGTAGCTTCAAATTAATATAGCTCACTGTCAAGTATATTAGAAGTATATAAAATTTAAGAGAGTCTCCAAAAGTGTCGCTAGAAGCCATTAGGTTCAAGTATCGTTTTAACAGCCATATTGAAGACAAAAAACGGCAGAATATTTTATATTCAAACTCGAGCTAAATGGCATTCGTTGCTACTTAACAAAACAAGTAAAGTGCGTGCCTATTCATTCACGTTAACTATATAAACTGGACGAGTGTTCAGTACAGTTGTATTTGTGGACGTGGTTAAAGCATTCGATTATATTACACTGTAGGGTATAAAAGTGTACAAACTGACACTGTGGCGATAGTCGAAGGAAATGAACGTGGACATAAGAATTTATTTTAGCATTCGAACTAACAGAATAAAGTTTAAGCGCGACGAAGTCTTTCTGTGTCAAATAATGTCGAATTTGAAACATCATATAATACAGAATATGGCAAACGGAATGTAGCTATCCTGAATGATTATTTTAGAATTCAAATAAAATAATGTATGCCTACATTTAACCTAGGTTTGATTGAGTTTAGTAAGAGATATTCGAATAGAATGGTTTGAGCAATTTGATGAGGTGACGACCTATCTAGTATGTTACTTATTTCCAACTTATTTATTTTGGAAATTTGACCTGCTTTTACTAAGCGCCTAACGAGAAACTCTCACGGCAGACATCAATTGGCACCAAAACCTGAAATTTGTTCCAGGAATAAAGTAATATCAGGTCAATAGCAATAATCGCGATTAAAAATATCTCGTAACAAACTTCAAAGAGATTTCTGTATTTTGATCAATAAGCTACACTGGTTTAATTCTCATAATGTAGTGAGAAGGCCGAGCGAGCTGAAAAACTCTTTTAACTACATTGCATTATACTACAATTTACATTGTTTTATGTTCTACCATCGCAGTAGGACGTAAAACTCCATTCATTTAATTTCATTTTCTACCGTGCAGGGCATGTACTTTCTTCTTGATTTCTCATTGCGACAGAACAATCGCATTATTTGATGTTTCTGACTCAACTGTGGAAAGTTCTATACTGTAGTAGCGAGTGTGGCTAGCATGTCAGGGCGTGCTCATTTTGGGGGAACATTAAATCCCACCCCCATTTCATCTGAATTTCGCAGTGCCTATTCATGTGCAAAGTACATCGTTATAAACGTCTGGAACACTTGATGCCCCCCTACATCCCAATTCTCAAGTGTTGCACATGTGTATGTGTATCACATTGTGGGTTGTTCAGAGTTTTCAATGTCCTAGCGAAATTAAAGTGCCCAACATGCCAGCGTGTTGTAGGTTATCTCAATTCTAATGGTAACTTTTCATTTTAAATGACAGTATACTAAAATATGAAATACATATTTGTCACAACTCTAGACTGTGATATATATATTTTGATGATTGCGGTAAAACCATTTCATGACAAACATGATTTATACCAGGTCTGTGATCAACAAAGTTGTGTAACCTCGCAAATAATGATTCTTTAAGAAAGGTATTTATACGCCTTTTTCTAAAAACTTTATAACAGGTTTTTATCTAGTGAGTGGGAGGACATTTACAGCTTTCATCCGGGCCACAAATTTGTGGTAACTGCTTATAGCATCTACTGGAACAAGGCATCATAGTTTTCCATTCCATTCAGGGTACCAATATTTGAAACCTGTCGTCATTCATTTCTGTTCTTCCTAAAAATGAGAGCCCCGTATTTATGCTTTTTGAATTGACGCCGTGGGAGAGTTTAAAAGCGACATGAAATTCGAACTGACGTATTCTCCTGTTGACCACAGTTTATCGAGCTTTTGTTTATTAATTTGTCTTTTTCATTAACAATGAAGGATGAAGTTATGATGTTACACCTACAAGTTATCCGTTCGTATCTTTTGTTCAATTTGGCAAAGAATGCCTTCCATTGGAATTTATATTTTTCTGATAACAGAGTAAAAACTTTATTTATTTCAGAATTCTATTGTTGAATTTATTCTTATTTCTCACTTCAATAATTCTGAATACAATCTGTTCACAAAATCTTTAACATGCTTTTTTTGTCGGCCTCCAAATATGATTGACTTTGCATTAACACAAACCGGTTATTAATTTTTCATGTTTAGCATTTTAAATAGAGATTCACAATTTATGTTTTTTGAAATTGTGTTAAATTCGTTGCATATTTTCCTAAAAGCAAAAATTTCACACTTTTTTAAATATCTTAATTGCATAAATCAACGAATTGCCTGCGTATTAAATGTCCATTAAGTGCGTGTTTCTGTACGAGCACACCTTCCTCCAATTTCTGACACTTTAATTGCATGTTTTATGGAGGAAAACAAAATGTTGTTCAAATGTTGTTCTGACAATTTTTCACTTTGTCAATGGTAAAGAAATATTTTTAACGTCCTTTTGGGTTCACACTCTTCAAAGGCGTTATCAGAAAGTGACAAGTAAGACTTTGTTTGAATTTGCTAGCTCAATATATCGTAGATATCTGCAACAATGGACAATGTATCTTTCCATTTTCTTTTACGTTTGCGGAAAGAATGGTTTGTAAAGATGGAAATAAAACACAATGTCTAAAACAAAATCGAACATTTTTCTTTGATGTCACTCTGCAATTTGGTTTGTCAACTCAGCATCCCTTGCAATGTAAAACACAGAATATAGATATAAATATGAGCAATAGGTTGTTTTTACTGTGGAGTACGATATGGTTCAGAGAGAAACGTGTTCTCAAGTGAGGAAAAATCTCTGTATTAACTAAACAAACAATTCTAGTTGCAATGTTACCAGATGTCGGGTTTTTGTTGGGAATAAACAGGTATTTTGTGTCTAGTAGCATAAGGTCTGGCACCTAAGCCCCACCCTCACTGACAAATTAAGAAACTAACGAACTTGAATTGCGGCCCAACTTAGTGCATTCTTAGTCAACGCTTTGTAACTTAAACCAGTATATATATATTTATAGTCATTTTGGCAATTTGCGCTGGTAAAACTACAATATCCATCTTTTAGACATATATTTGCTATTGTTTCTTTTTTCACCTCCTTATCCTAAACTAGAGTGTATAATTATGGCTATGTAGAAGATGGTTGCATTGAGGAAAATACTCTGGGAGATGCTGTTGCTTTTCTTCCTCTGAAGTAAATCCCGACCCCTAAGGAATGCGTCATATTATCTCAGGATTTATCTACTTATATAGAAATTTATAAACGTGTCAGTGTCACTAGTTTATGATATTTACTTATATTATTATATATTATATAGAACAGTAGATTGAGTTTGACAGGTTATCTAATGTCTGTAAACTTTATTAATCTAGTTAACCTCTTCTAGACACAACACTCTATAGGCCTTACCTCATTTAGACATAGACTGATTTTTAAGGGTAGGAGTAGGTATGACCCTACAAACCTTCCTCGCTTTAAGATTTACTATATTTTTACATGTTAAACATTAGACTTACTTCAATCAAACTTATCGTAGGTTTTTTTCTTGAAACAGCTGCCAGAAGAAAATTGCATGTGTTTTTTTAGGATTTGGGCTCTTAAGCTTCATCTCAGATATATAACACCAAATTTGCATTAGCTAAAAGTTGTCAAGGTCAACAGCTTGACATATTTACCGTTACTGTATCAAAATTGCAACATATTTGCAATTATATCTACAATAATTATATAGTTTGAAAATACATTATGAAGTGTATCTGATAACGGACCTGTTAATACATGTTGTAATTGGAAAACATTTGGGTATTTTTTCAATAATTGTATTAAAAAATCCTTATATACATTACAGTTATCCCAAAGATGATATCGGTACTATCTGATAAGAAAGAAGTAGAATTAAAATGAAATGTGTTCAAATCGTAACATCATAATTTATCCACTAATCCATAGAACAATATTGTTATCAATGGTTATATAAGAGAAACCCGACAATGGAAGAGCATCTGACCATCTTTGAATTTGTGCCGTTAATTATTAAATAATTATTATAAAATTATAAAACATATTGGTATATAGATTATACTTAAGACAATATCGGCATTATCTCTTATCTCATATTTTATCTCGACCATTATCATAGTGCTAATTGCCCTCCATCTAAAACTATTTGAAAATCTATTTACAATCTGTACCAGAGCAATAGGCTTATCTCTTGATGAGACTCTTAGTTGTATGGCTAATTACACATTTAGAATGGCCTTTTCTCTTCATCATCCGCACAGGTCCTCGGGGTTATAGTCCATCTGTTTTACCCACCTTTGTGCTAGATGGACACAATAACTTCTGTAATTGCTACAGCGCTTTATCATCACCAGCACAGCACAGTTCGTGCGAATCTATATTGGTCTTAAAATGACTGTATCCGACCATCAACCTTATTGTAGAGGCATGTTGTTCTGAGACTAATTCATGGGTTCTAAACCAGTGGATGATTCTCGGTTGTGCTTCCATCAGCTTATATGATTAAGTCTCCTGGATAACTTTCAGTAATGGTTATAACTTTCTTTCAAATGAAATTTATTACTGAAATCATGTGCTACAACTAGATGCACAGTATAGCTTCGGTGGGACCTTATGTTCTACCATCTTCCAAATTCATACAGGATGCAAAATTTCTGATTCAACAATCAGCGCAATCAACAATCAGCGCCAATGAAATTCATTCCAATGTTGACTCTACCTACCAGCCCGCCCAGAGCATCCAGAAGGTTAATCTGTAATGATTATCTTATCTATTTATGAGGACTATAAATGTTCTGTTAATTAACCCTACTGGATGGTAGATACAAGAATCAATTAGTAGGTCCAATATCACCCACAATTAACGGTTAATTAGGTAGCTCCGTATAGAAACTGGCGTGTCTTATCTTGACCTGGAAGTATATCCGTCAATTCATAGGTGTATCCTGTAAAATTATTACCGAGATTAAACTGTTTGTTTGAGACTTACAAAAAGCTTCAAATCAATGTTTACCAACACTTTAGTTACATTCGTTGATAAATAATCGGAAATAACCGAAAAGAAATAGATGTCTCATCAGGTGGACAACATTCTATCATCTCGTAGATTACTGCTCTTGAGTCCAAAATTTGATTGGATTTGAGATCCAGTAATATAAGTACTGAGTGGGTGTCGGTAGCAGAGCAGGACATGCTTACTATTCCGAAACATCTGATGCCATGTGAGACTATTTCAATTTTCACCCTTTTCAGAGAGTCCACACAGTTATTATCTTTTATTTTGGTATATTTTTCAAAATAAGAGAGTAAGAGGAAAGACAATTAACATTTTTTGGCTTGTGGTCAAGCGAGAAAAGGTAAGCCCCATGCACCTGAGAAACATTCACGGTGCAAATGTTTTAGGTTTGTAGTCCAAATATTCTGAACTTTGAAAGTAAGTCTAAAACCAATTAGTACTATAAAATGATAATGATATAATTTGTTGATCTTAGTTATTGCCGATTTCCTGTTCATACACAAGTTAATAGTTCTACCCACAATATGACACGTTCTGATCTGTTGGTTGGCATTTTAATGACCTTATATAAAAGAAACAGGTTACCTTGTGTCCTCAAAACGAGATATCTCCCTGAATCCAAACAGGGTTTTCTGACTTTTTCGCCTTTTGTACATTGTGTTTTGTTTATTTGTATCGCTTCATTTTCTTTTAAGATGTCCAAACCAGAACCTGTGATGGTTGACGAAATTCCAGAAAAACATGACCAGATAATTGACTTCACTGTCGTAAAATCTCGAATGACTGTAATATAATTTACCTATGTCACAACTTTTTATCAGTTACGAAAAGCTTTATTATTTTTTTCACAAGATGTTCTTGGTCTAGAAGAAGGTAAGAGGACTATAATCTCATAATTTATCTCTATAATTACTGAGATATACTGCGATATAATGGGAGAACTTCAGCTATCAGGAATGTGGGTGAAGTCGGTGCAGTAATAGGGAAAGTAAAGAGAGATTAATTAACAAAAATATTCTAAATATTTTCATTAAAAACTTCAAAGTCTTCAGAAATCTGATTTCAAGTAAATGTAAAGTATATAAGCTAGCTACTCGTAACATGCTCGTTGGAAATGTAAGAAATATTATGGCTAGAAAATCCTGAAAATAAGGGATGTCTTGGTATGTTCTGTCATTTTCTGTGGCACTTTTATTTTAAGCTTAGAACCTTAGAGATGAAATTTCAGCTGCATCTGCATTCAAAATAAGCCCTTAACAAGGCGGGTATAAATATTTGAAATTATGGTTTCAATTGACAACTACTTAGTTTGCGATATCAGCATCCGCTGGAAGCGAACGTTAACTTGTCTTCTTCCAACTGTTTCAATTTGGCTAAAACAGTGGATAGTTCAGTCGGTAGCAGATGGGAGTCGTCTGATGGGCGATTAAGTGTAGGTTCGAACCTGCTCCAAGGCAAGAAAAAGATGTCATTGCCAGTACTTTTTTTTAATGTTTCAACGGTCAACTTGATATATATAATGCAAAATTATTATACATTTTAACCAAATTAAATTAAGTTCAATTTATGCTATTGGTAGATAATTTGAGTTTATGTTGTTTAAGACAAATATTCATGGCTTGACACTCTAGTAGATAAAAAAAATTGCAAGCCTTATAATTATTTTGATTAAATATTTCACTATGATTCCAAACAACGTTCCATTCATATTTCCATTTCGCAAAAAAGAACATCATTAAAGCTAAAAATATAAACCTATAATTTCTTTTACTATTTAAATCCGGGATAATTGAACCCAAATCCTTTTCCAGTGTATACTGATAACGATCTTACTATATCCAATCAAACAAGGGGTTAACTGTACCCGAAGCCTATAATTTGATGATATCTGTTAACCCTTGTGAGTCCATTTCGTCATGCTATCTGGTCCATTTAAACATCAACTATTATAGTCTAATGAAATCTTTTGAAGTGAAATAAATAAAATGGATTATAAACGATATCAAACTAAATTGATATTGTGTTTTATCTTAAAGGCGATCTGTACCGAACATAAATTCTGGCCTCGTTGACCCCTTGTTTTACTGGACAGGCTCAATTTCATATTAGGTATAAAACGATACATTTTGTAATGCCCAACTCTAGATTTTGGTAGAGTTATGTATTACAGAATATTTCTATACACAAACTGAGCACATACAGGGGTATGACACAAGATTACCAAAGGGGTTAAAAAGGATCTTCTCTATTTATCGTCCAGAGACGAGGTAGGCTCACTAGTCTAGGAAAGCAACAAAGTACAAACTAATAGCCGTTTAGGCTAGTAATAAACCGCGAAAACATTTGTGTGTCTGTTATAGTGTACAGTTACCAAAAAGGTTCTCTCTTTGAGCAATTCGTATATAATACAAACACATGCATGCTTAGGATCTAGACTTCAAGGTAGGCTGACCTGAGGAAACCAAAAAGCCTGGGCCTTCTAGCCTAAACCAATGTTTGCCAAACCAACAACCATTTAGTAGAATAAACCACAACAAACGTGTAAAGTTATGAGAAAACTGAAAAGATTAATAAGATTTTACAGACAGGTTATGACCTTCTCTCTTCATCATGTTCACTCTTCCGACTTTTTCTGATCGATCAGAGACTAACTAGAAACTAATGTCTTTCTAATAAGCGATACAAATTCGATTTCGTCAATTCGATACACAAAGTAAATCAAACACATCACATTTTCCTTTAGATGTTCCCGCCTCTTTTCTATAAATCACGAAAACTATGACGTCATTCTAATTTGTTCGTCTGTTATCTTTTGTTGATAGTTTCGTACTAAAGCTAGTATTTTTATTTTCGCACTTTGTTAAGTTGTTATGATAAGTAATGTTTATTGTGAGTATGATGAGGTAGAAATGGGCTGACAATGAAAGCAAGGTGTCGATGGAATCCGTATTGTGTTTGGCATTGGTAACAGGTCTATAGCAATTTGCGTAGTTGTACTAATGTTCTTTGCGTAGTTGTACTTATGTTCTTTACGAGAAAATATCCCAAGGGCTTGTTTAAATGTAGAAAAAGGACCCAATTTTTGGGACGAGGTAGAAACTAGATATCCCCATGTATATATCAATTTCTGATGCTACTGGTCATAAAAACTTTTTCAACATACCCTTTCCTTTCCTAAACAGACTTGAACCTAGACGTTCACAAGTCTCAAGTCTTCAAGTCTCAGGGTCATTCTCTATTTTGTCTTAAAGGATTGATCCTAGTAGCTTTTAAAGGAGGAACAGATCAAGAAACAGGTAGTGATTTCCAAACCACTTACAGTCCATTTTGAAATATGAAAGCCGGAAATAAAGATAAATATCTATAGTGGATTCAAATAAATATTGATAATCAGAATAATTCAGGAGTAAATGATTTAAATAAATCTAATTGGTGTATATGATTTCTGCTTATAATATAAACCAATCAGGGTAATATCAGATAATGGTCAGGATAGATTCTGGCAATGAATTCCAGATTGCTCAATTACCGAAGATTTACCTGATTTTAAAAAAACTTGAGGTAAATTGATAAGAACTTGAGATAAAAAGCACCCAATACACCTGTAAAATAAAATGAAAGTAGAGACTTAGTTAAAAACATGACTGTTTTTTCTGGTTATTAGTAAAAATATGTTGATTTTGTCAGTCAATCAAGTAAGTGGTGAAAGGAAGAAAGTCTCGCAGTTCAAATGGAATCCGAACACGGGTTTACATTCTAAACAAGTCTTAAATAAATAAACTGGCCTAATCTGCGGCTGAGTGGAAGAAAAATACTGTATTTACACAGTGTTAGTTCTGGCAATAGTTGATAAACCATTCCTTTTTATGAATTATTCTTTCTTTTTACAGACTTAATAGAATTTTTATCAACTTCAAAAGAATGTATCAATGGTTTGATAACTTTACCGGAGATCATTTAAATATATTACAGATAGTCCGAATTATCAGATATTGCTTCGGGTTTCATCTCATTCTGACCAGACTATTTCGGACACAACAAGATTTATGAAAGAGATCTGAATAATTTCTGTGTTTGATATAAGTTAGCTGGAAGCGGACTTTAAGTTGCCATATACCAACCAACCCTCCTTTCTGAATGATTTGAATTGAAGATCCTTAGAGTGCTATGATGTTCTTTGAGAGAGAAAGAAAGTCCTTCGAAATAATCCTCTATTAAAACAAAAAAAAAACACGGATTTTTAAGAGAAATATGAGATAATTTGTGATACATTGCCCCTGTTACCGATGTCGTAGATATTATACAATCATTTCAAAATTAATTCGACCCACAAGATCTCATTGAAATCTTCAAAGCCTTCAAATAGAAGTCGACAACCCAGATATTGATATCACTGATAGATACAGATAAGGTTAGGTTGCACAAGAACAGTCAAGTGCAGGTTTAAATCAGAGGTAGTCCGTGACAGACCTTGGTACGGGACATGATCGACGAATGAATGAGGGGGTGACATTCTAGATTCACCAAGGAGAAGGCTATCATTAGATACGACCTATCCCTGACAAAACCATTGCTTATGATAGTCATCAGTTCTAAGAGATTTCATTTATTGTATTTGAGTGAACGACATGTAATTTAGAAGCACCATAATCATCACTTTGGTGTCCCGTTATATCTATAGGTTATCCGGAAATGATGCTATGATTGATCGGAAAGGTGCATTATGGAAATGGGGGTGTCTTTTTGCAACTAACGTGCGATTCAATTCGATGTCTGAATCTACAGAACATAATTGTCGGCTATTCAAAGCTAAATTGCCCAAAGTCTTTTTAAGCGCAACGTCACTAACATGAACGGCATGATATTCAAAATGGCTGCCTAGACGGTGAATATCCCTAACAGCAAGATAAAGGACATACTTCAAATGACACCCATCCTGATATTATGATAATCTTAAATGATATGATATATTAAATATCACTGTTTAAATAGGATTATGTAAAGTTATACCATCACTTTAGTTCACAAGATAAATAGAGCAACATCGTCTGTATAATTAAAGGCTTAAGGCTGACTCAACGTGGCTTATCAGATAGTCTGGAACAACCAGTCACGTGACGCCCATGACGACGTGCGCAGGTACTTTTTTATGGAGTTCGTGGAACTCTTAAGTTCCCAATGGGGAGTGCAATTCTCAATGTTCAAAAGCTTATTTGATGTTGGAACACTTCTTCCAGTTTTTGTATTTACAATATCTGAAAAGTAAAGCATCTTTCAAATTGACACAAGAATCTAGCTCGTTAAGTATAAACGTTCGCGAAACTCAGCTGGATAAACACGACTACAAACTTGAAGCCTTCAGATGACGGATGATAGACATGGAAATTCTATGATGCCATATCATATAACATACATGTTATCCTTAATAAATGATCCCATTTTAACTTGTCATTGTCGTCAGCGACATGTTAAGTCTTCGCACCTGCCACCATAGAAACGGAAATTGTCAATAACTGAATGTTGGTTGTCGTAATTTGAATGTCGTTAAACCTGGTTATTTGAATGAAACGACAGTTGACTACATGATAAATGTACATCTGTAGACAGAGTAACTCGAGACTCCAAAAGCCCCGATACTTCTTTAAATTATAGGCGTGTTGATGGGTGTTTTAGTTTCGGTAATTCAGTTGGACCGTAACGATTCAAAAAAGCAAATTGAATTTTCAAATAAAATGAATTTTACGCCTTACTCGGCAATTTGTTGAACATATGATGAAAATTACAGACAACTTTGTGAAACTAAACATATTTTTGTGCAGTTTGCTATTTATAAGGAATTCTGCTCATTGTTTGATTTAGAGCTTGTTCTACTGAAAACAGCCGAATTTATAAGATGTAAAGTACGATGTGTGAAATAAACTAAACTTCACTGAACCTGTTGATGGTCGATTTTTATTAAGTTATAATTCAGAAAGTCTAAAATGGCGAACTGAAGAGGGCTTAAGCATGCTTGTAAACCCTTCAGCCGAGCACTTGACGTTCACCACTTGTTGAAAGTAGAAAGTTTAGACAGGGCCTGTAATAAAGCAGAGTGTTTATTGTCCCTAGGCACTAGTAATGGCCTGCTACAGACTATATTGAGTATGTTTTGATACAGAAGATGACAAGTGGATGATAAATGGGGGCAATGTTGTTATACTTGGGTAAATAATATCATATTAACTGGTTTATATACTCTAGTCTACATTCCTCTTACATTCTTACCGTCAATCACAGTTGGTTGTAATGTTGCAATATGGCATGGGGCAGAACCTTCTTAATTTACAATAGTAGTAAGAGAGTGTGGTATGAAATTGGAATTTTACTGCTGACTTAGGGTTGGAAACGTGAAGGGTTGGTGAGGCGACTGATGATGTCAGTACCAACACTTTTCAGAACAGCAGATGTAGGCTTTATAATTTGTAGGACTGTGGTATACGATTGAGGCCACTGTAGTTTTGTTTGTTTGTACCCAAACCCTATCAGGAAACGAAAACTAGAAAGACAAGAAAAAAACATCAAAGACCAGCTAGAGAATTAAGAATGATGTTTTCTGCTGTGTGAATAATTTGACATATTTCAACAGACTTGAGTCACTGGCTTTTTTCCTTCTCTTCTCACTTCGTGATGCATTTGAGAAAAGTTTTTAAAAAGTTGGTATCGAATTTCAAACGAGTAGGAATTATAAAGGATTATGGGTAGTGACCCGTACCGCCCTCTATAGTCTCTGGTGACATGTCATCAATATTGTCATGTATAAGTGTCATGTATTTTGACGTGAAAATACAATAGAGATACTCATGGGTTTACATTTTATTGTCTCCACCGTATCAAACCACTGAATGCACGATTACATCAAGGCCGGTAAAGGATGCATGTTGTAAAAATTGCAATAGAACCAATGTATTAGTGTATTCCCATGCTTTAAAAGTTTCAATATTCAAGGGAATACATCTATTAAGACGAGTTTGTCCGTTTAAGAATACTGATATGGTGGTCGTTAAAAATAATATCTAGATTCTTCTTTTATATTCTTCGTTGGACTAACAGAAGGGACGTTGATAATCTAAGTCATTCCTTGCTGACTGTGAATTTTTCTCTAAGAAATTGTTGAATATCTTGTGAACTGCTTTATTTGGACAGCGAATTGGTAACAAGGATTATCGCTTGCAAGGCGATTAGGAACTCGTTGATTTCTGATACCACGACCTGTGCTGTCGAGAAACCGAACCTAGTACTAATTAGAGCATGTATAAATGTCATTGCAAGGGTTTGAAACCGTCTATAAATGTAATTTTCTAAAAGGAATGTTATACTAAATTCTATTTGCCACGAAATCCAACGCGAAATGAGCATGATATAAAGTGATACTGCATCGACCTGAATTTATTTACCAATTAAACAATCGCATTACATGAGCCAAGAGGAAATTATACAAAATAAGTATGTAATATGTAACTTAACCTATCTTAGATTATCAAGGTGATATAAATGTCAGGCGTCTAGAACACAATCCAGATTACCTCAGGTTCAATGTTATCAAGATTGGTATTAAGTTTAACCCTCTGGAGTTCGGTTTAAGGTTAACCCTCTAGTGTCCCTCATGAGTCGGTAATATTCGATAGTCTATACTTCGTATCGGTAACATAATTACATAATATATGGTTATATACACTGCAGTTATACTGTCATGAATATCTACTATTCAAATCTGTATTAAAATCACAAGAGAAAAATCTATGTTATGTATAATTCAAAATATATGATCAGCCTTCTTATATGGTATCTATAATAACAATTAACAATAACAAAATATTCTCTCTGTTACAATAATAAACATTCCATTCAAATCTATGTTAAAATCACACGCCCAAAACCTCCAAAATTATAATCTTGTTTTCCAAATATATGTTCGACATTATATCGTGTGTATAAGATAGACCTAGGATAGTTGTAAAGTTTTGTTTGTTACTGAGATCATCACATGGCTATAACCGATATAAATAAAAAATACATTCTTCAAATCACATGAACATAGATAGATAGATAGATAGATAGATAGATAGATAGATAGATAGATAGATAGATAGATATATAAATACATCATGATACAAGATAATACATAATAATAAGTGATACAAATATGACATACTGACTTCAATTAACAGTTATACAAAAAAATATAGTGTATACATAAACAAGTTTGAAAAAAGCAACATCATAACAAAATAATGCATCAACAAATAAGCACCATGTGTTCAGTGGCGGAACCAAGGGGGCGGGGGAAGGGGGAAGGAGGGGGCTCCGCCACTGGTTCAGTACCCTGTCTGTGAGCCCCCTTGACAATTATGTGGCCCATACTCGGTCCCTCACCAATGATTCATAGAAATGCCACTGACTCAGATAAATAGCAATATTCACCGAAATAGCCATTCGAAACAGAGAAAATAAAACCTACGAGGCCAATTTCCTAGTTAATTTTTTATCTGATTGTTTATAGTGAAAGGAAAGCTAGTTATTTGTATTCTCGTAAGGTTAATTCAATGATAGCAGAACGATAGTATAATAGTAGTATAAGAAACATAATGAAATTGTTAAGAGAAATGGGTTTAAGCGAAGGAGAAAGTAATTGAATGAGACTCCAAATCGATTTAATTTGTTGTGTATTGGACTGATTATATACAATTAGATTGTGTTATCCGAGTCATCTCGCAATGACTAGAAAAGACCATCAGATATAGGACTACAGTACTGTTCTTTCTGGATGACGAATCGCTATAATAAAGGATAAGACATCTTATTCTATTTCATCATTACATTATGTTGTTCTCTGAATCAGACCTGACCTGTATATAACAGTCAAAATATGAATGGCTGTATATACAATTACAAATGGAAAGAAAAAGCAGTCAGTCCGTTTGA